GCGGAGGGGAGGAGGGCGGGGCGCTGTGGGCGCGCGTGGTGGCGGGGGAGGGGGCGCAGGTCAAGAAGTGGCGCATCATCCTTCGAAATCTGCCCTTCCAGGTGAGAATTTGTGGGGCTGCTCGTTACACGGGTGTGTGTGTATGTTGATTATGTGTGTATGTGTGAGTATGTATGTATTAGACAGAAAAGAAGAGAGAGAATGTGTGTGTGCGTGAGTGTGTGCGCGCGCGAGCGCTGGCGGGGCGTTGACGTGTGCAAAAGTGTTGCCCCGCGCGCGCACACACACACACACACACACACACACACACACACACACACACACACACACACACACCTGCAGGCCACCGAGGCCGAGATCCGAAAAATTCTCGAGCCGGCCGGCTTTGTGTGGGCCCTCGACATCCCAAAGGGCCCAGATGGCCGCGTCAGGGGCTTTGCTTTCGCCTCTTTCACAGGGCCCCGCGACGCGTCCAAGGCGATCCTCCTCGCCAACGGCGCGCAGCTGCGCAAGCGCCAGCTGGCGGCGGACTGGGCGGTAGGGAAGAAGCTGTACGAGAAGCAGGAGGAGCGCGGCGGCGGCGGCGGCGGCGGCGGCAAGGATTTGGAGGAAGGCGGCGGCGACGACGGCGGCGGCGGCAGCGGCAGCGGCGATGAGGGGGATGGCGAGCTGGAGTCTGGGTCCGAGGACGGATCTGATCCGGGATCTGAGGGGGCGTCGGATGAGGAAGCTTCCGAGGGGTCGGAGGAGGAGGAGGGGGAGGAGGAGGAGGAGGGTGAGGAGGAGGAGGAGGAGGGGCAGCAGGAGGAGGAGGAGGGGGAGGATCCGGATTTGGGGCGCGAGCGCGGCATGATGCGCAGCGTCTTAGACGGCCTGCTGGCGTCTGAGGGGGCGGACGGCGGCAGCGGCGCCGGCAGCGGCGGCGGCGCGAAGGGCAAGGGCGCGGGGCAGCAGCAGCCTCAGGCCAAGGCAGGCGCCGCGGCGGCGGCGGGGGTCGAGAGGGCAGGCGAAGGGACCAAAGCGGCAAAGGCGGGGC